TAGAGAAAAGGTAAATGTTATACAACTCAACATCCTCTCAAGTTTAGAAATTTTATCTAATACTGTACAGCTGATCTCAATCATAAAACAAAATTGACTCTGGAGTAATAAATCTATGGCTGACGCTACTGTAGTTCAAATTAGAAGAGGTTGATTCAGCCACTAATGGTAATGAAACAAGCAGAAATTGATGGTTCAGTAGTAATTGTAAGGAAAATGAAAAATACCTTATAGGCAGTCCATCGGTTTTGAGAAGGCCTTTGACAGCGTCGACCGAGAAGTAATTTGGAAACTGCTTCAATACTACGGAGTACCGCAAACCTTTATCCGCCTCATTCAACAACTATATGAAGATGCCACATGCCAAGTAATCCACAATGGGAAGCTCAGTGATGCCTTTGAAGTGAAGACAGGAGTGAAACAAGGTTGCCTACTATCCCCCATGATATTCCTAATTGTGGTGGACTGGATCATGCAGCAAACAGTAGGCAGCGAGAAGAGGGGGATACACTGGACGACGGAAAAGAACCTAGAAGACTTGGATTTCGCCGATGACTTATGCCTAATGTCACATAAACTTGAAGATCTGCAGGCAAAAACTAACAAGTTGACAGAGGAGGCAGCTAAGACGGGACTTCAGGTGAATATAGAGAAGACAGAAGTGATGAAGATACCGCACCACCACCACCATCAACAACAACAACAAACTCCAATCACCGTCAACGGTAGAAACTTGAAGGAAGTAACCTCCTTCACTTATCTAGGAAGCACTGTTTCAACTACAGGCGGGACGGACGAGGACGTCAAAGTCAGAATCGGAAAAGCAAGACAGGCATTCATTAGCCTGAAACCAGTGTGGAGATCTTCTGCACTCAGCATGCGGAACAAGATACGGATTTTCAACACCAACGTCAAGTCAGTGCTCTTGTATGGCTCAGAGACTTGGCGCGTCACGAAAGGCATTTCCAATAAACTACAGACATTCATCAACAACTGCTTACGCTCGCTGCTGAAGATCAGATGGCCAGAAAAAATAAGCAACAAGGAACTCTGGGAACGAACCAACCAAGAACCTATCACGCAACAAATATGCAGGAAGAAGTGGAGATGGATTGGGCATACACTGAGAAGGCCGACTGAGGACATCACGCGTCAGGCCCTCGAGTGGAATCCCCATGGGAAGCGACGAGTTGGACGTCCGAGGGTGACATGGAGGAGGTCGTGCGAGGAGGAAATGAGAGCTTCTGGGCTGTCGTGGAACCAGGTTCAAAAGATCTCAGAGAACAGAGGTCACTGGAGACGTGCTACTGAAGCCCTATGTTCCACTAGGAACCCAAGGGACTAATAATAATAATAATAGTCCATCGGTTTACCCTCAAAATTTAGTATTTAAGAACAGGTTAGTCAGTACATGAGAATTTAAGTCCATATTACTTAAAGTTTCAAACTATATATGTCCAGTATTTCAGGCTGAGAAATGTTTTCTCCTTTTAACATGCTTAAGTAGCAATGAACTTTGGCCAAAAGCCTTGCATGAGTTGAATTTACTTCAGTTGGTTGGATTGCACTGCTGTTTTATGGTAGGTGGATTTAGAGTTTGGTGTTGATTATGTCGAATCATACCTTCTCAATATCCAATACTTTCTAAACTGATTAAACTCTAATCATATGAATATAAAATGATACTCTACTACTGTTCAAGCGAAGATTATCTCAGTGACAGAGATGACACTGTGTCGAATAAAAGTAGCCTATCTAAATTACAATGTAATTTAAGTGATAGACCGTTTATATTTCATTAAAATGGTATGTAATGGGTATAAGTGTTGAAACAGGACGGTGTTCATGAAGCTCAGCGGTATAATTGTTAGCCAGAAATGCTTGGTTTGTACCAAAATAAGTCAGTTAATGCTCATTGGACAGACCGAAATGGCCAAAGAAACGTAAATTTGAAGCTCTAAAATCACATTAATTTCCACAAGATCTTCAATAAACATCAGTGATGAACACTAAAATGCATGGAACTTAGGTCAACTAGAACTTCTTGTAGCTTGATGTTTAACACGTATTTGCAGTTAGTACACAGTATTTATAGGTCATATTGTAAACATGATTGATAGGTTCTACTCAACACTAGACTTCACAGCCATATTGATTACCATTAAGTGAGTAATTCGCATACATTCATCTTTTATGGTCAACAAATAATTTTAAAAACTGATAGAAATACCAATTTTCTCTTAAGACCAATATGATAAATAGCCATTTCAGACGTGCTGACTGTTTTAGTACAAATGCATCCAAAGCAATAAATCAGTAAAACGGTGTTTAAGTGAATATTCACACTGTAGTTCAGACAGTACTACCCTTTGAAATAAATGAAAATACCATTACCGCCTCCAACCTTCCAGGTTAAACTTCAAAACCCAACTAAACTGATTGATGTGATTATAGATCAAGTATGTGTGATATTGTCGGTCACTTACTGTCTGTTTCCAAATCAATTTCACCTATTTTAGTACAGAATGATATGAATGTAAAGCTAATATGATGATGATGAGTTTACTTTGTGTGAAAATGTTGGACTGAAATTGAGCTCTTACTGGAAATTGTATCTGTGCTCAGTTTATTTGCTGTTTTCATCGAAAAGATTCTTGTGAGAATTATTTTGGCTTCATGTTAATCTAAATTATTTTTTAAGAAGTAAATAATGGTGAATTTACCAAGCCTAATGATGAAATGTCCGAGAACTTGAGATGTTCTACGTTGATTTTATCTGTCTGTTAAAACTTTGAACAACCGTTGTACTGATCTTGAACTACTAATCTTATCTACAGAATCATTTTATTACAAATAATTAATGGCTTTGTAATGAACTCCGTTTATTCGTTCTTGATTGACACATACATCAATTTCGCACTGCAAAGCCCAAGTATAGGAAGTTCCAGAGGTCTTAAGACACCTTGAAATTTCCTATTTTACATATTAGCCGGAATTTGTATCCTTCTAGAGTTCATTATATTCATAGAAATATTCCTTGTTTAGTTAAAAAGGGGTGTTAATATAAAGCAGATTAGTGTACTTGTGTAAGGGTAGAAAAAAATAAGATTTGATTTGTTGATTCAAGTCTATTTGAGTACTACTTACAAGTCAATATGAGAATACTTCTCTCACCTGTCTATACTTCAAATACTTTTGCTACATATGGAAAGAGATTTTTTTGGGACGTACCCAAACTATTTTAGGCCAAATTTTGCACACATTATCACGTAATACTTAGCAAACTTATATCGATAAGGTATATGTTGTAAAACTAATGTTTTACTAAAAGATAGTTTACCATCATCTCCAAACGTTAATTTTCGAGACGATGAAAGTGAATTTGAAGAAAACTGTCTACACTTTGTGCACATGACTTAAGAAGTGATAACTTTTTATTCACATCTTTAAAATGCTCACTCAATTCAATGACTATGAAGCTACTATAAATAAATGGCTTGTTTCATGTTAGCTTTTTGAGGTTATCCAGTCGATATGTATGTTCAGTGAAATCGGTTTGTAGTCTTTCGAGTCACTAATTTCTGTTTTGTTCAATGATACATAATTTTATTCTATTCAGTAATGTAACAGAGGTACTAAAATGAAACAGATATCAACAGAGCTTCTTGCAATAACCTTGTGGCCTATTATCCCTAAAATGTCATTGGTCATGAAGTTTATTTAGAAAAAAATAACTTAATGAGAATCTAAAATTCAGTGACAGACTTCTGATTATTCACCAGAATATTTCATTCCCCTGTTACGTTAGGTCGACAAAGTGAATCGATTCTTTGCTTAATATATATTGTTTCGTGTGAACAATGTTAGATCAGTTCAAGAAAAATATTTCACAGTTTTCCTAGATGATCTTCATAATTTATTCATTTAGTCAATAAAATTTGTTCAACGTGATATTTCTTCTAATTTGTCTTTCACATTTTTATGCCATGTAAATAAATGAATTATTTTAGGCTTTTTAAAAAAAATAGGTTAACATTGGCTGAATTATTGTTCAACGGTTGCTTTATCTTGTTTCAAGTTTATTCATTAATACAAACTCAAGATCTTCAACTTCTTAGGTCAGTACGTGAATATCTGGTACACTGCACTAGTTTACGACATCTGACCATGTTTACGAATTTCATAAATGTTGACAATGTTAAGTCAGTGCTTCTATATAGTTCAGAGACTTGGCGCGTTACGAAAAGCATTTCCAACAAACTACAGACATTCATCAACAACTGCCGCCTACTCACGCTCGTTACTGAATCTCAGATGGATTGACAGAATAATAAGAATAAGCAACAAGGAACTGACTGAACTGGCTGGTGACGAACCAACCAAGAACATATCGGTGAACAAATATTCAGTGGAAGTAACTGTAGATGGATTGGATTGGGCATACACTGAGAATGCCGACTGGGGACATTATGCGTCAGGCCAGGTGGTCGAGTGGAACCCAGATGGGAAGTGACGAGTTTGGCGTTGGAGGTGAGGGTGACATGGAGGAGATGGTGCGAGGAGGAGATGAGAGGTTGTGGGGTGTCATGGGGCCAGGTTGAAGAGTTTGTAGATAAGAGATTGGAATGGAGACGTGTTACTGAAGCCCTATGTTCCACTAGGAACCCATGAGACAAATAATAATGTTTTATACGTCAGTGAAGTATTGCAAACTCATATTTTTGGTCATAGACTGTGATGAGATATGAGTACAACAAACCACTGAGAATATTTGTAGCTTAGAATGGTGACTCTGATGGTGTTACGCTCTCTGAGTTGGATAGTTTGATCGTGAACCTTTCACTGTCATTCTAGATAACACTATATGCACAAACTTTCAAAAGTTTGTACAGTCAACAACATTTCAGCTTTTATTCATTGTCTAACAGATGCCTTGTATCGTACTATCAACAGTTTAGATTGAAAAATGACAACAAATGATTATAGAAAAGAAGACATACCTTTGGATACCATTTTACATGTGCCTTGAAGTAAATTTGTCATATCTCTCATTTCATGTAACCAAAATTTGCACCCATCACGTCGTAATCCACTTCCAAGTGTTAACTGATCACCAATAATTAAATAATCGAAGTCCTTAGTTATCAATCCATCTGTACGACGGTATAAAGGCCATTCAGGTTGAAAAATTTCACCAGTCTCGCTTTTCGATGGATGTCTTTAGTAAACAAATGCAGCAGGAGATATATAAATAAGTCAATTAAGAAATGGGAGCAAGTGAAAAAATGTCATTTCTTCAAATGACTATTTATTGCTTTAATAAAATAATTAATAGGCTTGTTAATGATATTCATTTACTTGAAAACGTTTACACAGAATCAAATATCAGGTATTGGTTAGACGGGTTCTGTATGATGCATTAATCTTTGTTGATAACATTCGTAGCATAATCTTGAAAATCCTAACACAAACGTAAAGAGTTGACTATTAGTTTCATAAATATATACTGCTGACTGTTACCGGTAGTTTGCGACCAACTAAAACGATTTAAATACTGACAAACCTACTGGAACAAACTAATGTGAATAGGTCCTGATTACTCATGTTAGCCAGTATTATATAACTTGTAGCAATTCTTCCTATTTTCTGGATGCGAAATTTGTCTTCAAGATAGCAGATGATGGTAGAATACCTTGCTTTTTTTAAAAGTATTGGAGAATTTTACAGTCCTGCTATCATCATTATCATGGGATGAGGATTTTCTTAGGAAAAAGAGACTTTGAGGCCCAACAACTTAGGACTATTTCTTTAGAACAGTTAGATGAATGTTAAAGGGTAGCCGAATGAAGCAAATATAAAATTCAGGTGGAATACCTATGTTTTATCTAATAATTAGAGCATTTAATCAATTACAGAGGTGAGATATAACAAATGCAAAACTGAATTTTATATATGGGAGGTAGTATGGTGTGTAAAGCTTAAAAGAATGTATAAATGTAGTATACAGTGACATTTTCTAGAAATTTTAAAACATTGAAAAGTTGACTCAGGGTGATTATGAGGAGAGGGATAACAAGTATTTCGTGACGATACGGAAAAAATTGAAAGGAAGAATCTATATCTTGTCTGAATAAACGTGGTTGAATACCTCCTTGTTATACTTCTCAAGTATTGACACTAGCTTGCCTAGCAAACGATATTCCTTTGAACGAATGTGAGTAGATGAGGTAAATTTTTCACCCACAGAAGAAGTAAACACTAGCAATGAAAACAGCAATGTTTAAGACAGCATAAGATGCATTATTTCCATCTTACTTTATCATCCTATCGTTGATTGGACTGAATTGATCGCTCTTTAGCATATAGACATATTGACTAATTAGTTCCAAACACGGCGAACCGCATGTCCTGGATTCCGCTACTAGCCACTATCCATCATAAGACTTGAGATTATTGGAATGATAAGTAGGAAAGCTGTGTATACTGGAATACATGTTAACAACTAAGAAATAATATGCTTCGGTGATCCATAGGTATTATTTCGCTGAAAAGGTAATCATAGATGCTATAAAGTAGTACCATACATGTAGACTGTTGAGTTCGTATGCTAGTATGCTTCTTAAATTGTAAAAGTTTCAAACTTCATTGTTAAAATGGACCGCTATGCATTTGCCTCTCTCAATCGTTCTTTACTTCTATTATCACTATTCAGACATCAAACAATACTATGAGCACATGTTCTGAGAGAAGTTAGGTAAAGGATGACGGTTCGTTTACAGTACACGGAAATCACAAGGATGACAACAGATATGATGGAAATACGTAACGGAGAAATACTAACTACCACAAAGATGGTTAGAAAATATGAGAACTTATCACTTTCCTAAACGAAAATGCAACATTTATTAGTTTATGTACATTCTTATAACTAGCCTAAATCATGATAATTCAACAGATACAATATGCTTCCTCTTAAGTTTCTTTTGGACAAATTTAGCTGAATACCCACGTAATAGACTATGTTGGTTAGATTCTTGTTTGAGTGAATGAAGAAGGGAAGTAGAGACAACAAATAAGACAAAAATGTTACTGCTTTTCTGAGAGAAGCATAGAGAAGGAGATTAACTCATCTCTAAGACCGGATATATAATATATATATATATATATATATATATATATATATATATATATCAGATAAGTTTAAAAATAATTTTTATTCCGGAAACATATTGAACAATAAAATTGAAGTGACTGTTAAGAGTGTTCAAAATTATACAGAGAATTAGATGCATTTTTGACCTATTTAAAATGACAGTAAATTATAGGAAACATTTAAAAAACATGTAATTTTTATGGAGAAATAAAAATCTTCATTTGTTGGAAACCATAGCATTAAAAAAATTGTAGGATGTGTAGAACAGTTCAGTCTAGTTGAAAGTAGTCAACGAGATGATGATCACCTTGGTTGCTTTACAGTCTCTTAACTAGGTGGTTTAGTCGTGGGTTAAAGAAAAGTTATAATCAAAGTTATGATCAAATCTGAAATAGCGTGTATAAACTGATCTTTCTCTTTCTCGCTCACTCGCTCGCTCGATTACCAGCTTTATAGGATATTTACTTTTACTAATTAGGTTGTTATTCATCGAAGACTGACATCAGTTGGAGGAACAAAGGAGACCTGGGAGCACTGGACAGCTGTTTCGTCCTAGTATGGGACTCCTCAGCAGTGCGCACCCACGACCCCACCAGCAGGGATCGAACCCGCGACCTTCAGGTTCCGCGACCAGCGCGTTACCATACTAGGACGAAACAGCTGTCCAGTGCTCCCAGGTTTCCTTTGTTCCTCCAACTGATGTCAGTCTTCGATGAATAACAACTTGAAATATTTCCAAATCTCCACAACCCCCTCAAAATTTTACTAATTAGGTTAATTCTACACGGTGTAAGGAAAATAGCTGTCTTCCGAAGTGTAAGGAAAAAGACTAAACAGTTACACAACTCAATGTCTTAGCTCAACATAATTGAAGTATTATCCTTTATACATCCCTGTTAGATCTGTCGTCATTATGATAAGTCGATTGAGAAACAGTACAATTATAAGTCTGTTTCATTAATATAAGAGTAAAACTTGGGCAGTGTAGAAGAATGCAATTCCACTCTACCTGATTTATCACATATATTATACAGCGGAACAATATCATTTACCGAATTACATATCGGACACAATTCATTGTCCATAGTCATATCAGGATAACTCCACAACTTTGAGATTTGTTTTATGTGGTTCTACTTCGCTTACGCTCTTTGAGATATAGATAGCATACGTTTCCATGCATCCAGAACAGGTGCTGGGTCACATGTTGGATGTGTTCGGAGTTATTTCGACAGACAGATTCAGTTATCAATCTCTCCCTGTAAAGTTATCTTAGTTTTAAGGATATTCATCCCAGCTTCCAAATTTTGAGCCTTTCAGTTGTAAGATTTCCATATTCTTTCAGAAGAAATTTTGATGCTGCCTACTTGAGTGCATTGAAAGCGGAAATAGTAACCTATGTCCAGTTCATATCAGAGTTATTTATACAAACGATTTTAGAAATCGTGTGCCTCATATTATGGAAACTCTCAGTAGGTGATTTTGTAAACTGCATTTATCTTGTCTTTTTTGATGGCGGAAGTTCATGGCTTGCACACTGAATGTTTTGCAGCGTTCTCGTTAGTTAGTTTTTATTATCACTTCAATCACGAACAGAGGGAATGATCAACTGGCGGTATCGCAAGCTTCTCTGGTATAGAGTACAGCCATGAGCTCAGTCATGTTAGGTGATTGTGTTGTTATTTTTGTTCTTTTGATAAACACTCCTTGATGACAAGTTATATTTGTAGAAATCTCAGGGTGTTAGAAGTGAATAATTTCCAAGTTTCTCACGGAAGTCCCCTCAGACGTTCTTCAGGGAAATTATCAGTTTCGTCATCATATATATATATATATATATATATATATATATATATAAATCACCAAAGAAGCTGGGACAAGACATCTATGCAAAACGCTGGAATTATTTAGTTTTAAAACCCTGATATTTATACAAATATAAAATATCCAATGTCGGTTCTTCACTCGGTGCCAAATGATTGTGAAACTCAAGGGTCAAGTCTTGACTAGGATTCATGTAAACTCCTTGGTGACGGACGTTTCATGGATGAAAGTTGTTTAGGTATCAGGTGAAGATGAAAATCCGGACCGTGGCAGGATTCAAACCGGCGACTTTCGGGTTTTCGGCAGAGTGCTCTCTCAACTAAGCGAAATACTTAGTGTACGTAATTATATTCAGATTTCTGTCACAACTATACTCTATTTGGATTTGGCTCCAAATGAAGTCATTCTATCATACAATTCCTATTCATTATTTTGGAGTTTCCCGAATACTGTTCTAAAATGTAGCCCCTAATCTACACGATAGTCACACTCCCATATTTTCCAATTTTTCTACCTACCGATTTTTAGCAGAGTTCCCACGCAGGTTACATCAGGGTTACCAAGGTAGTATAGTGTCGTGGAAGCGTTTCTCAAAAGCAAATCTCATGACCCTTCTTAGTTTAGGATTTTCCGTGCTGATCCAAAACGAAGTACTAGATAGTTGATAGGAAGCTAACTGAGTGACCTTTTTATAATAAACTGGTGGGTTGCAGAATAATGTGTCAACCCATGTTGTTGTTCATTTCTACCCGAATAAAACAAATAGCTGCTACTCAGATTGTTCTCTGTCTCTATAATCCTTAATGACTGAAGGTGGACAGTGTAGGCAAGTCAATAAAAGAAGAGTAGTTCAAGTTACATTTGGTAATAGATGCTTGAAATCTCTGAACAGAAAAAAATTTCTTTTGTAGTCACTAGAGAACTGCGTATTCGAAATGTTGCCAAGGCAGTTCAAAAATACACTTTAGCAAAACACTTCACTAAGAAGCGATGGCTCAAGTAGGCTGGCTGGCAACAGGAGCTATAGCGTCATTAACCTTCTTAGTATCTCATTTATGTGTTGCTGGAAAGTTCTCTACATCTAGGAAGTTCATAGTACGTTGATCACATCAATCTAACACAAAATGCTCTGTAATACATTTATGTTTAGTTTATAAGACACATGGTTCTGGTTGACCTGTATACTTGTTGATATAATAGCATTTTTACACATTATCGTCCAGTTGTTATTATTGATAGTTGGAACAAGCAGTTCGTTTATAGTCACTCAACGTAATCTGTGGCTCCTTAATGTAGGGGGTTGACTTTCAACGATTGGGTTCGGACACCACCGCACCCACCGATGTTTGAGCAGCCAGGTAACATCACTGGCTCTCATTCATTGTCTACTGCACGAACACGCACGTGGAAGCGAAGTACATTTCAACTTTTTGAGATGTGAAATGTTTTCTTCCCTGATTAAGTAACTGTATAGGGGAATTATAGTACAGTCGATACAGGATTCGGAATTCGCCATTCTCCTGTCCGCCGATTGTATCTTCATTATGTGTATCAATGTATATGGACAGAGGTTAAACAGATTTCATAAAAGTCTGACTCGTTAAAGAGTAATATCAGATAATATTAAAGTTAGTCATAGAAACACATGATTCTAACGCTGACATAACTACCAGTAGTATACTGGTTTATGTTTTGTGTTTCCTCCAACTGCAGTCATTAGACAAATCAGTTTTACCAAAAAAATGTCTCTTCATTAAATAAGTGATTGTTTCACCACGCTTCATTAAGAAATTTCTAGCATCGAGAAAGCACTGAATGTCGTTTCTTTAATATAAATCAAGAATAGTATGAGGATTTTTTCATTGGTAGTATTCATCACGAACTAACACCACTTATGCTCATTAGTGGCATGTTTCGAGATGGATATCCTGAGGTTATAATGAGAAGCCACGACTTCTCCTGCTAATCAATCGGGGATGAAGTGGATAACAAATGAAGATCACGGTGGATACGGTTACATTTCATCATGAGTTGATGCAGGTAGGAAACTGTGGACTGTTGAATTCCCACTAAGTGCATAAATAGCGAACACGTTTGCAGCGAACTTCCGAAGGTCCTGAGTTTCATCACTGGCTGGTTCATGGGCACATACTGCTGAGGGGTCCCACTCTAATAGGAAACAGCTTTTAAGAACCACTCACCATCAACAGGATAAGCCAAGAGGAAGTTATCTTTCTCACCTACTTAAACAGGACAGAATCGTTTCAATTACGGGTGGCGGCACGGATGAGGAAGTCAAATCCAGGATCGGGAAGACAGCAAGACAAGTCTTCATTAACCTAAAACCAGTGTGTACATCTACTGCACTCAGCATAAAGTGAGAACAAGATCCGTATTTTCAACACTAATTCAGTCAAGTCAGTGCTTCTATGTGATGGTTGAGTGGCTTGGCGGCGCGTCACGGAAAGCATTTCCAACAAACTACAGACATGCATCATCAACAGCTGCCCCCTACGCTCACTCAATACTGACACTGAAAATCAGACAGATGGGCAGAAAGAATAAGCAACAAGGAACCAACCAAGAACCCATCGTTTAATAAATATGCAGGAGAGTGAAGAGATGTATTGGATTGGGTTGGATATACACTGAGAAGATCATTCGGGGACCTCACGCGACAGGCTTTCTAGTGGAATCCAAACGGGAAACTATTAGTTGGTCGTTCTAGGGTGACATGGAAGTCGTTTGAGGAAGAAATGAAAGCTTGTGGGCAGTGTTGGGGCCAGGTTGAGGAGAGTGCAGAGAAGAGAGTGCAATGGTGACGTGCTACTGAAGCCCTACGTTCCACCAGGAGCCCAGAAGACAAATAATATAATAATATAATAATTTCAAATTTTCTCAGATTTTCAATAGTTCTCCAACCGATGTCGGTTCATCATGAAGAATACTACCTTGAGAAAGAATATTACATTTCGAACTATTTAAAACACTTACCCAGTTTTAGCGAAATTTGTCCACATTTTCATAATACTAGAGCTAATCTGTTTCTCTTCATCAGTAAAAGCATAAAACTGCTTTGAAAATTCAGGATCATTTGGCATACCGAAGACATATTCGATTTCATAACCATGCATAACACCAGTCCAATTAGGCAAAGGCAATGACTGAGTTCGTTTGTTGAAGTGATATAGAAATACTTTTGCTCCTGGTAATCTGGCAACTTGATCAGCAAAGTTTAGTGTTGGACAAGCAAAGTCTAAATCACCTGCGAATCGGTCTAATCGTTTGATAAGTTCTTCACCGGTTAGTTTAATTGTATCTGGATCATAATAACCATCATTGGGACCTGAGTGAAATGGTAAACTGTAGAAGTATGATGGTAATTTGGCTAAACCAGGTCTAATTTGTGATTCATCTAGGATTTGTGTAGCTGTAATCCAATAGAAATCAGCTATTTCTTCATCTTCGCTGAATTGTTTTCTTTCGGCGGCTAAGTCAAAAGTTTGAGGCATTAACATTGTTCCATTTTCGTATACAAATTTCGTATGTTTTATTGACATTCCTGGTAGAAGGAAAAACATCGCCTCATTCTCATTGATGCCAATCAGTAGTTCCGGTTGATTTTTTAACAAACTGGTGTTTTTCGAGGTGAAAATAGCGTCAGGATGTTTTAAAATAACATACCCATCGATAACTGGCTGGAAGGGTACATCAAAGTACAGTCGACTACTGGAAGACTGACCGGGTAGAATTGATTCACTTATAAAAGTTTTAGGATTTAGACAGTGAGCGATGGTGTTATAGCGACGTTTAGCAATTGCAGAATTTATGCTGTCCAACTGATTTATTAAAGTAAGCGGATCTAGGTTCTGAAGACATGCCAGACTTGACCTTCTATTTAATGATGGCGATTTACATCCACAAGCAAGTGCAAACTAAAATTTGAAAAATAATTGCCGAAAACGTTTAGGTTGAATTCCATGAGAATTTAATGATAAGAGTTTCTAAATTGTCATATCTGACTAGTAGTTACAAGTGAGATATACTGAGAGTAGTCAAATGTATTTATGTAATTTCGTATTTGCCTTTCCACCAACCATTTTACTCGACGACATTAATTACTTAAACGATGAAGACGTCAGATGCTGGATATTCAGTGTAATAGGCATGTGTCAGTTAGACGAGTTACCACTAGGTGAAAACCGTGCTGCAACCAAGAAAATATGATACAGTTGATAAGGTCACGATTATTGTACCCCAGCCAACAGTTCATCCACTATCGAAAGTTGCCATAGAGAGGCAACAATGAAAGTCATATAATTTACCATGACGCGCTAAAAAAATTTGTTGAAAGGAGACATGTGTTTAATATGCAAATCGTTCAGGTAGGAATTATGCATTTTTGAAATTCAATTCTGACTCCTCACAGACACCGAAGGTTTTTGGACAACAGCTTACATATAGATAGGTTCTTAATAAAGTTTCTTCCTTTACAAGTTTAATTAGTCATTGTTAATCTATCATCATAGGATGAGAATACAACACAAGGTGATACCAAACACATCTACCAAAGAAAAATAGACCAACTGTAAAAGGTTCCTCACACTTTTATCAATCAGTCAATATCAACATTGAACTTGGGATTACTGAGCAACAGCACGAATTGCCATAACTCATATCTATACACTAGTATTAGAAACAGCGAAGTAAAATTTAAAACAAGCAACAAGCGGAAGAAACCAGAATTTAATTCATTCATTAATTTTAGTGAAACTCCTTAACTGAATACTTTTGACTACATACTGATTTCTTCCCTCACGATGAAGTAATTGAACTTTAATCTATGTAGATTTTCAGTCAGTTCGGATTTAAATGTCCATGCTCAACTCACTCTGTATTACATCAGGATATATATGATCGAGTATGTGGAGTACTTTGCTATAGAGTTTCATCGAAATCAATGAATTCCTTAAATCCTCCTTTCTTTACACTTATTGCTTGTCTGAAACTGTTTTAGGAAGACAAAATTTTTAACAAACCGAAAGATATTGGAATGCAAATCTCACAATTGTAAGCTGCAGGAGGTCATAGAATTGGAAGATGGGAATAAACTAGATGACAGAATGGTACGTAACGATCAAAATTAGTTGAATGTTCCTACACAGTTGTGAAAGTTCCAAAGTCCTATCATCTGCAATCTCGAAACACCAGTTTCGGTTGTCATGTAAAACCCGACCTAGAATTCCACACCTCCCAACATGATTCATACCAGCAATCAGAGAATTCGTGAAATGATGTCACATTCGTTCGGCCTAAACATTCTTCATGAGCAACTTTATTGCAGCTGATATTATGCGTCAGAATAGACGGTGGGTTAGTTATGAATTGCACATGCTGGTATCACTTAAGTCGATGAAGGTTCAAAGTCTCACCACTTGATTTATCATTTCACCTAAGAATGTATACCTAACCTCTGCACAATTAACGTGGTAGTTCAAAGACACATAAAAGAGATGCAAGGGTAATCTCTGTCGAGTACCTGAAGCCTTCTTGCGTCCTCCACCTCCAGTGACGGCGTTTAACAGCAATACACCAGGAAATAGTGAACCATTGTACAGTACAATCAACCCTTAAATAAGTGGCTAAATATCTTATGGGCACCATAAATGATTCATGTTTGTGTTTGTCATCGTGTTCATTCGTCACGAGCTTTATGGCCCTCCGACCTTAGCTGAGTTGAAATCACGATATCGGCCTAAATGCGCCAGCTAGCATTAAATCGACAAACCTAAACTTCCATTTCCATTCCCTTCAACTAAACAGTTTTAAAATGGTATTTCACCACCTGAGTTTTCAAAAAAAGGTTTTCAAACTGCAATGAAGGATGGGTTAGCTGATACATTCCACATTACGTTAAATCCTAATACACTCAGCATAAAGGAAGGCTTAACTATGCAACCAAATGAGACAGTATATTCAACATGACACTAGTCATGGCTAAAGTACATACACATAAACAAACTGAATTCGTAGACCATAGTATTTTTCTCACACCCATTCATAATCCTCACCTTGATCTCAGACTAATAACTAATAAGGTTGAAATTTATTCTCATATTAAATGTATCAATGAAAAGTAGAATGGATAAGTAGATTTTTAATACAAAGTTTCTAACGATAAGTTTTGTATTTTGGTATTATTTCGAGCGAAATTGCTGACTGCAATTACGCGGCCGAAATATTTTGGCAATACTTTTAAAAAAACACCATTGTGTGTAAACTTATAGTATATTATGCTCATATTATCATCATGTGAGAAGAACGTGATCTGATTTGTCGCCATTTACTACCCAAACATGAGATTACTTGTACAGGTTTTATTCTCTGAAGAATCGAATTTCAAGAGGACACAAAACATAAGCAATTTATTTTTCTATCTCGTTGGAAGTTTATAAACATGTTTCATTTGTAGTCCATTTGCTTAGTCTCCAGCTTATTCAACTCAATCAGGTCAAATGCTGATCCCGAAGAAAGCTACTCAGTGTCACATACAATGTCGCACGCAACAGCAAGGAAAACCCATGATGGATCGAAACTTACAGACAATTTTCTTGCGATTTAAGATAAAAACTGACTTGTAAGGGAGACTATGTAAAAACTTCTGTTAACCGTTCGACCTTCAAATGCATTATACCACAGCATGCAAATCCGAACCTGAAAGTCAGGAAACGTTAATCAGCCTAAATTATGACTGCACCTTAACTAGCACACATTTTGTGAGGGAAAAAATGTTCGAACAGAAATCACAAATCAACTCTGTAACAGTTAAAAATCTCATATCAGCGGTTGAATTAGCATTGTTAAATGTTCTCGTCTTTAATATTCTTCATATTGTTATTACTATTTGTCCCTTGGGTTCCTAATGGAACATAAGGCTTCAGTAACACGTCTCCATTCCAATCTCTTATCTGCAAACTCTTCAACCTGGCTCCATGACACCACACAACCTCTCATTTCCTCCTCGCACCATCTCCTCCATGTCACCCTCACCTCCAACGCCAAACTCGTCACTTCCCATCTGGGTTCCACTCGACCACCTGGCCTGACGCATAATGTCCCCAGTCGGCATTCTCAGTGTATGCCCAATCCAATCCATCTACACTTACTTCCACTGCATATTTGTTCACCGATAGCTTCTTGGTTGGTTCGTCACCAGCCAGTTGAGTCAGTTCCTTGTTGCTTATTCTTATTATTCTGTCAATCCATATGAGATTCAGTAACGAGCGTGTGTAGGCGGCAGTTGTTGATGAATGTCTGTAGTTTGTTGGAAATGCTTTTCGTAACGCACCAAGTCTCTGAACCATACAGGAGCACTGACTTGACTGTGTTGGTGTTGGAAATCCGAATCTTGTTCAGGCTTTGTGCTGAGTGGAGTGCAGAAGATCTCCACACTGGTTTCAGGCTAATCAACGCCTGTCTTGCTGTCTTTCCGATCCTGGTTGGCTTTGACATCCTCGTCTGTGCCTGTGCCACCTATGGTTGAAACAGTGCTTCCTAGATAGGTGAGTGGGGCTATTTCCTTTAGGTTTCTTCCGTTGATATTCTTTGCATTACTTAAATTTTTATGATAACGCAATTCGAAATGTTGTAAAGGAGTTTTAAAATAAACTTATTTTGTTGTTGTTGCAATATCTCATGCTGAGAATTCTAAATTGTACCACAAATTGTTTGGAATAAACTGAATTATTATTATTTATTATTAACTTTGGCATAAAATTGTCATGAACTGGTGAAAGAGACCACCACTGAACAACTTGATTAGTTGGCAAAACTCAAGCTGATCCTTAATATTTCGCCATCCAGAACAGATTGATGTACACAAAACCGGAAGGGCATTAGGCTTGTTAAGAGCCAGGCTCATCTTCATTTCTGTCAAAATAATATGATTTCATAGGTACTTTATGTTCATACCTTTTAAGAGATTTCTGAGTTAAGATTATCATCATCTAGCAACTACTTCACAACAACAAACTGTTAAGCCTGAACTTTTCTCCGACTTCGGGTTTTAGTTGGAAAACTCTTCATTGACATGTTGGACATTGTCATCATTATGTTACTTGTTAAGTAATGAAGTACTGATTAGTGTCTAGCATCATACCAAAACATTCCCCACGCAAAACTTCAACTCACTTTGAACATCCTTATACTCAATTACAAGTGAGGGAAAAAAAGTACCTTCCGCTTATCCCAATCCTTTTAAGAGAACATCGGTCTTAAAATCTCAGTCAATCTTTATGTTAAAGAAATGAAAAATCATATAACAAAACATTGAAGACCATTGAAAGAATTAAAAACTCTTTTGATCAATATTCATTGAAGAAATAAGTGATTGTAAATTAGTTGGTCTCTATGTATTAAGGCAGTAAATCAATGTATTATTAATTATAATAGCCAAATGAATGAAGTAAAGAAAGAAGATGGATAGAATTCGTTTGTTGCATCATTGAGAGTAAAATTTGTTAAAATTCATAAATAAACTAAAAATAAAAGCGCAATTGAATCTGCCAGTAAATTAACTTGATGCCTTAAATGCTTGTCTGCAAAATTATTGTAATATTGTCAATCGTATTTTGAAGATGAAACACAGTACTTACATTTATTCATATAGACTAAAAAATATTCACCTCTTCTTTGGTATCATCAAGTAGACTTGTAAAACTCATTTTTGAAAGAAAGTCATCACATAGGCAAGACCAGATACAAATGCATCTAGCTGATGAGTGCCAACAAACACGAAACTTAGGTTTAAGGCTTCCGACAGATCAACTGTTAATGTCCAACACTAAAACGTACAGTTGCATCATTAAGCTTAGTCGTCATATTGAGAAGTCTATAGATAGAATTCGATCAGTATTGAGCAATAAGAACTAAACAG